ATACTAACTCTGTACTATCCATACTAACTCTGCTATCCATACTAACTCTGCACTATCCATACTAACTCTGCACTATCCATACTAACTCTGCACTATCCATACTAACTCTACTATCCATACTAACTCTGTACTATCCATACTAACTCTGTACTATCCATACTAACTCTGCTATCCATACTAACTCTGCACTATCCATACTAACTCTGCACTATCCATACTAACTCTACTATCCATACTAACTCTGCACTATCCATACTAACTCTGTACTATCCATACTAACTCTGCACTATCAGAATTGAAATTATTTTATCACTTCGTGTGACCGGAGTTTGATTCACGGCCATTTGGGTAGCTGGGGGAGGTGGAGAGAATGATGGTCTTCATTCTCTCCATCAAGACCGATGAGATGGAGGTGTAAGATAGAGGTAGTCGAGATTGAAGGTTAATGGTGGTTGAGGAGGTGGTTACGTTGGAGGTGCAGGTGGTGTCATTGAAGGTGGTAAAAGCGAGGAAATATGAGGAGAGTGGTTCTCGAAGTGGTAGTTCTGGTCCAGAGGTGAAGACCGATACAGTGGTTATGGTGCGGAGATTCAGCAAAGAAAAAGTGGTTGAGGTGGTGATAAAGAGGTTAAGAGAAAGTATTTGAGGTGGTGGTGGTGATGCTAGAGGTGGTTGTGGTGTAGAGGTGCAGGAAGTGAATGTGATTCATGATGTAAACACATTCCTGCGGAGGGAGCTGGTAGGCACGTTGGGTTGCTCGGTCAATGGCCAGGGTCAACGGCGGCGTGGTGTATTCCGCAAATATGGCCGACTGTGAGGGCGGGCACAAGCCGGCGTGAGTAGGTTAAACGTTGAGTTTTATAAGGGCACCACGGGGTGATCAGCCCCTCCCTACCCAGCCCCTCCCACCCAAAACTCAGCACCACCCAGCCCCTCCCCACCCTCTCCTCCCTACCCTCTCCACCCAGCCCCACCCCTCCCATTTGTGGATGCACGACGGACGGACACAATAATCCCCTGTGGGCTGGTGGAACCAGGAGGTTCCTACCAGTATTAACACGTCTGCTGTAACGTCACCCGAGGTGACAGCTGAAGCCCCCTCCAAAGCGGTTGTAGGCAAAAACAAGAGACACAGGCCAATAGCAGAACCTATACACACGGCAAATACAGCAACAGGCTTTTGGCGTGTGTTAAGAGCTTTACAACTCGTCGGATTTCTCCAGTATACATATTCTGGGAAATTAATATTGATTACAACTCAGCAGTTGCATTCAAAACGTGAAAAATAAAGTTTAATTTTAAATGGGCACGCACACCTAGGCTGGTTATGTGTGTCCCACGCGTGTGAACGGATTAAAAATGGGATTTTGTTTTTTAATCTTACGAATGAACAAAGGGCTGAGAATATGAAGGGATCGTAGGCAGAGTGTGAACTCGGTGTTTGATAATCACAGCTCAGTTGCGTAAAATGCCCCGAGTGAAATTATCCAATTAGTTCACCGATTTACACTGCAAAACTAAAGGAAATATCCCTTCAGAGACGATTTGTTGTTTTAGCCGACCAGAATACACTGACAAAGCGGGCGAAACTCCGTTTGTTTAACACGGAGGCTTTCGCGACCAATATTATTCATAATCAACGTTTTTGGGTTTAGATCGCGTTATTTAAATTGTAAATGTTGTGGTTTCACGCTTCAACACACCGGTGGGCTAAAGCAGTGAACTATTTGTCTTTTGTCAACGTGACACTTTTTTTACTGATTGGCCGTGTCGGGTGGTGGAGGGTTACGACACATTTATAAATAACGCGATCTAAACCCAAAAACGTTGATTATGAAACTCCGTTTAACACGGAGGCTTTCGCGACCAATATTATCCATAAGATGTTTTGGGGTATTTATATGCATCCATTAACCAACCTCCCCCCTCTGGCCTTCGCACCTGATTGAATCTTAAGTGACGACATCCCATTCATCCCAGCCCGTGTTTATTTATTTGTATTTTTGTATTTTAAGATTGTTTAATACGGCTATTTAACATTTTACATTTCGTATTTTATAAGGTCTACTTATTCATAATTTTAAAGATTTTAGCCCTTTAGTATTACTTATACTTTGTAACGTTAGTATAGTTAGAGTGTATACCTTTTATATAAGTTAAGATTCCTACTTGTTCAATGTATGCACCGTCCCGCCATAGTGAATTCCGTGTCTGTGCAAACTTACATGGCGATTAAAACCGTTTCTGATTTCTGATCTGATTCTGATTTAAGACTGAAACACGAGAATTTCGCCACAAGTCCTCTCTGGCTGTCGCCTGATGATGCTGCTGCTTGGTGTTGTTGTAATTACTGGTGAAATGTCACGGGACTCGAATTCTCCAACACACCGGTGCGCTGTACGAATAACGAATTGGCACATTTCGTCTACGTGACCAACCTTACGAATTGGCTGTGTCGGGTGGTGGCGGGTTTAACGACACGTTTATATTTGCGCGGTCTCACCACAGAAACTCATACATCGCGTTGAAAATTTGCCCCAATGTTGATGGAATTTTTTTTTAGCAAACATTTGGGACAGAAAGAGACATTCCTGAGAAGCAGAATATTTTATTTATTCTGGAGAAATCCGATGAGCTATGCAGTTCTTTTTCACAGATGAATCGGGCTGTTGTATAACGCACCTAATAACTTAAGTGTATAAGCCCTCTTCTTCTAAACCCACTGCTGAATGAAACCCTTCCCATACCTGAAGCAGTCGTGGAGAATATCTGACCATACTTCACCACACTGGTCAGTGCAGGTTGTGTACGTGTGGGAGTAGCAGGGCACCGCTCCCCCTAACACGCTCCTGTATTACACAATTGGTCAACGCTTTGCCAAAATAGGCGACCTAAGCCCCTGTTCGCGTGACTCGAAGCGCCGTGTTTTTTGTAAAAACTTGAAATCACTTTCGCCAACCGGGGAACTTAAAAAAACTGCATTAAAACCTAGAGTAGCTCATGGTAGGCACGCTACTTTTATCTCTAAAGTAACATACATTACTAAATTTTGTGTTTTATGTTAAGTAATGTGACGCATTGGATTGCAAACAATGCCCATCCCGTTTTTTGCACTCCACTACTGGATGAGGGTCTCTGCCTGTGTGGATCACGGGAGCTGTGACCATACTTTACCGCGCCGATCAGTGAGGGATGGTTGAAAGGAGGGGGCAGTCGAATTATTGTAGAATCACAGTACAATAAACACATTCCTGCGGAGGGAGCTGGTAGGAACGTTGGGTTGCTCGGTCAATGGCCAGGGTCAACGGCGGCGTGGTGTATTCTGCAAATATGCCCGACTGAGAGCGGGCACAAGCCGGCGTGAGTAGGTTAAACGTTGAGTTGTATAAGGGCACCACGGGGTGACGTAGGTAAAAACATTAAAAAGTTAAATTAAATAAAATAAAAATCACGACGTTTCGGAGGCAACACAAGCTTCCGTCTTCAGGTGGTACCGTCACAGCCACGACAGCTGTATCAAGTAAATGAGGGATTACAGGAGCTACCACTCCGTTTATATAATGGTTGGAGTGGTAGCTCCTGCAATCTCTCATTTACTTGATACAGCTGTCGTGGCTGTGACGGTACCACCTGAAGACGGAAGCTTGTGTTGCCTCCGAAACGTCGTGATTTTTATTTTACCTTTTTAATGTTTTTACCTACGTGACTTTACCGAAAAAACCTAAGAATATGAATCATTGCAGTCACGAAAGCTTCAAATCTAGAACTAGAAAATTTACTTTTCAGGCAATGATCCTTCTGAAAAGCAGAGAAAGTCCAATGCCCAAACTAAGCTTACCATTTAAGGCAGTATTATATTGTCAAATGCTTCAACGGCGGCGATGATCACTAACGAACATGCGTTGCAAGCAATAGGACAGAGCAATGATGGGAGGCTTTGAAGTCTAACGTTAAGTTGGAAGAACCTTTTAAACATCTCGTATTATTAGTGGCCATCGATTGCTTTTGTACAGCAGTTCACGTTCGTATTAAAGATCCCCCGTTTTTATAGTTTATGCCAAAAACTAACACAAGTAGTCTACAAGGAAGGCTTTAAATAAAATTAATAAGTAACTACTTACACCCACGCTTGCTATAGGAGCAGACAGGAATGCAGCCCGGTCAGACCCAAAACTCCCCCAACCCACACAGCCCCTCACTCCCAAGCGCTCAGTCACCCAACACTGAGCGCATACCCGACACGCAAACACACACGGCGGCATAGCCACCACCACGGGAACACTGCTCCACGACCGCAGAGATTCATTACGGGGGGGGGGTGTGTGTGGAAGTTTTAAAAGGAACAAACCCACTTTGGCAGCGGACGAAATCCGAGACGGGGTCCGAGCGAGCGAGGCAGAGTCGTGATGTGCGGTTACCTACGGGACTTGGGACTTGCGCACAGTGGAGCCGTTCTTAGATGATTTAACCGACCAGGTTAACCCAAAGGTTGACCCCAACCTGCACACAGGTGACTGAGGCTCCAAGGTTGACCCACACCGCTGCATTGACTCGAGAAAGACCTAGGCTGCTTGGTTGACAAAGACTGCCAGGCTGACACGCTGACTACAGCTGCCACGTGAACCGAAAGGCTGACCCTGGAATGCTGGGTTGACGTAGGTTGTTGGTTTCATCCAGGCGACTGGGCTGGCCAGAGTTTGGCCCAGGTTGAAAAGTTCACCGATGCTAAGGGGTTGAGTCCATACTGACCTCCACTTCCAAACTTTCTTCAGCTACCAAAACTGAGTCAAAGTTACAAGATTGACCAAAGGCTGATCTTCGCTGCCAGGCTGACTGGAAGTCACACAAGCTACGGCAATTATTTTTTGAAGCTGTGGTGAGTGAGTCTGCTTGCTCGCCTACAAAGATTACATCACAAGAGAGACATTCATCACGCTGGGAAGCCGAGTGTGGTCCACAGGACAGCCAGTTACCGTGCGGTTCTGTTAGGGCATGTGTTGCGTTTTATTGTTTGTTTGCAAACACAGTACAAGACAGCCCCCCCCCCACCCCTCACAAGCCACCCGCCTCCAATCACACTCGAAAAGCGCGAAGGGATCTGGGAGCTGGAACAAAAAAAACCTCATTTCTCCGAAAAATACGAGACCCGGTGTGGAATTTCAATTGGAAGTGGTGGGAGAATTAAGACTGTAGCGTGTAAAGCTTGAATCAGACTCGTGTGGAATTCCGATGAGATTGGTGCGAGACTCAAAGCCAGACTGAGACTCTGGTAAGAAGAGTTGTGGTCGGAACACCATCACTACAATGAGGTTAAACTCACACGCGATTACCGCAACTCAAATTGTTAAAAACAGAGTCCACGTGCGATGACTGCGTTCCATGCGGCGGTTAACCACGACCCCGGCAGTCTCTTTTTTACGGATAGTGAGGTTTCCTTGCATTACAGCACCATAGTACGTAGTGATCACACCAACTTTACAACCTACCACTGTTCACCTTTAAAAGCACGAAACGAAAAAGATCAACACTCGAAATGCTGCCCAAGGTCTCATTACGCCGCCGATCGTGCGATCGCGTAGCCAACCGCAGAGTTCCAACTATCGCGGGAGTGCAAATCTACAACTAAATGCACTTTAGACGCAAACACACGCACAACGACTGCATTCTTCAATCCCACCCCCCTCCCCCTCGGGGCCTGTGCCAATTACCTTTCTCTGTTGGATTTGTTGAAACTTTTTCCTAAACATGCATTTCCTCCTCCTCTTTTAAGCAAACCCTCGGAAACGAAAAAAAGAAAAACAGAAATGTACAAAGTTCGCGCAGCGCGGTGCGGCGTGACCTCCGCCACCCTCGACATCGCCGAGTTTGTTGCCTGGCGCTTCCTGCTCGCGAGACCACCCCCCTCAAGTACCTAGACACTGCCAAACAGCGCTCTCTAAAAACCGTACAAACGAGTTTCATCTCTCCAAGCCGAGTATACGTACAAAAACAAAACTCAAGAATACGTGGGCAAAAAAAGATCATCGACGATTATACAGGTGGACGAGCTAAAACAACATTAATAACCCTAAGACCCGGATAGATCCGTGTAAACCCTACATCACACCCGTGAGGTTTCTTTTCGCGCTTGACGTTGCCGTGTTTCACCGGGGTAGAGAGCCAGTCCATTCCTCCCCGTGTGTCACAGCCGCGGGACGTCGAGCGACGCGGGCCACCCCGGGACGGGCGTTACTGAAAGGGAAAATTCTTCTTTTCAAGTAAAAAAAAAAAATCATGGTGACGACGACGGTGGAACGTGCACGGGCATTGGGGGCAAAGTATGCAGCAGGGGGGCTCTGTCGAGGCAGGCGGGTGAAACCGGAGCGGCTGGTTTCCGTGCCCCTTGTCACCGCCTTTTCGGCCACCGGCTGTCGTGCATGGAAGCGTGTGCGCGGTTAGTGTTACAGCATGCGCACGTCGGCAGCGGCACGACACGGTCTTGCCTCACAAAGGGGACAATGGCATTCGCGTCCTGGCGTCCTCGCCCCCCTCTCTTGGCCGACCGTTCAGACTGCCCCCCCCCCACCGCCCCCCTCGGCAACGTCCCAATGGACCAAGGCCTGCTGGCAGCCGCTCCCCAGGACAACGCAGGCGATCTGCGATGCCGGCGCCGCCGCACGCTCCTCCTTGCTCTCCTGCAGGGCCTGGTTCACTCGAGAGGAAAGCCTCACTCTGCCGCGGTTTCCTCAAGCGCACGCGCGGCACGGCTTATCTGATAGGGCCGTGAAGCGTCTACACGTTTCTGGAATTTGCCAGGGGGTGTTGCCTAGGCGACGGTGGAGGGCGGGTGAATTTGTCTGATGGCGGTGCTGTCGAGTTGCGTCGTACTGGTGCGGCGTGGGGGGGGGGGGCCTCGCGAGTGCAGATGGGACAACCACTTTCGTCGTCTCAGGCGGAGGGGGGCCCCCCCCCCCCCCCCGCAAGGCGACGACAGAACACGAGGCCACCCCGTGCCGTCAATTTGCCCCCCCCCCCCGCGCTTTGTCAATTGGCACCAATTTGGAACTTTCGTTCTTTAAAAAATTTTAAAAACGAAAAATATATGTGTTTATGTACAGCATAGATATATATTTATTTTTTCATACTTTATAAAAACGTTCCACTTACGGGCTTAGTGGGCGGCTCAGTAGAATTATCATCAATGGAGAGGTTTTCTTCTTCGAAACGGTGCCCCCCTGCGTACTCGGGTAAAACTCGGTCATCTCCCACAGGGCTCCTCCTTTACGCTGCCGCCAATCCGTGAACCAAGAGGCAGAAGGGACGGCATACTAGAAGCACACTAGACCTGCTCTAAATGTGATGTTGGCATAAACAATAATACACACACGTAGTTTAAAAAGGAGCAACAAATTAAAGACACGTGACGGGCAGAACAGCAAACTTAACCACCAATGTTTTTTTCTCTCCTCTCGACGGCGAACGCGTTCCACCGTCGTCGCCATCACGGGTCGCGCTCCTTTTTGACGCGAACGTCGCCGGCCAGGATGGTGCCGATCTCCCCTTGCATGAAGGCCCACGGCACGGTCGAGCCCACCAGGGGACACTTCTCCCCGCTGGGGCAGTACACCTCGCCGCCCGCGCCCTGCGCCTTGATGCTCTCAGCGCGAGCACGGGAAGCAGAAGCGGTGCGACGCCACCGAGGGGCACTGCACAAAGTGCGTGTCCTCCAGCCGCTCGCGACACAGCGTGCAGCACAGGGGCGACGCCGCGCCAGCCCCCGCCAGCGCCACACTCATGCCCACGCCCGCCTGCGAGTCCGGGATCTGCTGCCCGCCGGAGTTCAGCAAGCCCTGGTCGCCGCCGCCGCCGCTGCTGCGCACGCGCAGCTCGCTCGGCGAGCCGCTCCCACCGCCGCCGCCGCCGTCGTGGTGGCCGTTGCTGTTGCGGCGCGAGCTGGTCGAGTGCACCTGCGGGATGCCGTTGTCTTTCGGCGATTGCGTTCCGCCGCCGCCGCTGTTGGCGTGGCCGGCGTTGGTGCTGCTGCTGGCGAGGTTGTCGGTGGCCGAGATGAGGGCCGCCATTGGGGAGGGCCCCGAGGGTGGCGGGTAGGCCACGGTGAGCCGCATGCCGTGGTCGGGCGGCGCGTGGAGCCAGTGCGCGTGCTGCGCCGACAGGCGGAGGCCGCCGCCGCCGCTGCCCGACTCGTCGTGCTTCGAGGGGTCCGGCGTTGGGTCCGGGGACACGCGCCGCTTACGGGAGAGGCGCGACCCTGCGGGCAACGACACACACACGACACGCGGGGCGACGAGTGTCAGAGGGCGAGCACGGCACGTGGGCGCCAGCGGCACAGCATGGCTCAATGGGCATTTGGCACAGTTGCACAGACAGAAGCGTGCATAAAACAACACGCACACAATAGTATAGTTGTCACGACAGCCAGTAATAGAATGCACCAGTGAACAGTACACGTGTGAAATGACCGTAATTATAATCTTTCCATTTGGAGCGCAAGACAACAATGAACCACCGAGTCATCAATCATCTCTCGGAGGTTTACAGAATGTTGAAGGCAATAGCCCACCAAATATTTGTACCCTTGCTTATTCGAGATCGGTTTCCCTGCCCCCCTCCCCCAGGGGACACGACTGAGAAAAGAAAATCTAAAATGTATTTTATTTCTAGTTCAACAGCCGCTAAAATGAGACCTTCCCCACCCGCATTGCAGCCTGCCCCAGAGCCCTGTGCTTTAGTGACCGACGATGCAGCCTGCCCAGCATCTGAGACGTGACCGGCGAGCGAATCATTCACGTCGTGGGGCAACGCGCCCGCAAGCCGCCGCCGCCACTGACAGACACATCCCCCCCCCACCCACCACGTCACGATTAGCATGCCAACAAACGCACAACCCTTGTGTGCAAGCCCAGGTTTTGTGTTTCCCCTTTTCAGCCCAACGAGCTCTCTTTGCTCCGCGTCTACGCACTCGTGCAACTGCAACGGAACGACTGCCGTCAACACGACCACTTAGACAACCGCTACGCTAATTTATAATGCAGCCAGTAAAATTCAAAACGAGCTGTGAAATAATTCATCGCCGAAGTGGCTTCAATTCACTCTTGCTATTCGGAGTCGCGATTCATCGCAGGAATACAATTATTTTTTTGTCCCGTTTTTAGGGTCTTGTGTAAGTCTCTCATTTCTCGTCAAGCTAGTCCAGTTCAATTGCGCTACTACCCTTTATGCAACCTCAGCATTTAATATCCTAATAACTTGCATGAATCGCACCATTCCAACGCATTACTCATGAATGTGGAAATCGTGTTAAACGATCGTGCCTATTTAAAGCAAGGTAAACACATTTCCTAATGAACACAGAAACTGCAAGCCCGCTCTTACACCGATAATGTTTTAAACAGAATGACAATACAAGTTTAACACAGTGGTTGTACAGTGCAATGGTCTTTCACACCCACCATTTTTGCCTCTCGATTTCACCTGATCTACATTAACTACAAGGTGCACAATGTCGCCAGGAATTGGAACACGTGAATAATACAATTCGGCTGTTTGTAGCACCATCTTCTGCAAACTTGAGGTCCCTTGACCGAGACTCGCATGGCTGCGTTCACTTTTGAGCGACTCGTTAAAAGACGCAGGTCACACGCCACATGCAAATGGAGATAACCCCCCTCGGCCTTGCTGGATGCCACTCAAAATATTCTGATCACTCGGCAAGTTTCAATCCGAGCCTTCCTCTGTTCTGAGTTAAAAGTCCCCCCCCCCACCCCCCGTTTGTTATTTAAAATAACACTTCTTCGAGAAAAAAAACCTGCAGTCTGATAATTAAAAAAACATTTATATTCACTGCCGATTAGTAAGCATTTGACGTAATCCAGCCACCTCCACAATTAGATGAAATGCCACCATTTGTTATTACGATTAATTTCTATTAAATTATTCTCTTTTGCCAGGATGAAGCATGCAGTTACCGTAAACTTTCAATAAACTTTGGGGGTATCCGTGAACCAGTCACACAGAGTGTAAATATATATTGTAAATAAAGCAAAACTTAACTCACGTACACACGTATTGTGAGCATAAAAATAATATTGAGTACCCGTAATTGAACTGTTACACTCATTAGTAAAGTCACGTGACTGATTTTCAAAATATACTTCACAAACTAATCTTTGGCCTCCAAAAAATACGTGTAAAAATACATAATTTTTACTCCTGAAAGTGACAAAGCCATGGCGCAGTGTTTAGCACATGAACTCGGCAATCCGAGATCGATAATAACCAGACGAGGCCAATCAGTGACAAGTGATATCTAAACAGATCCTAGTCTCCCCTACCCCTTGACCAGGGGCCGGCAACCAAAATAACAAGAAGAGCCATTTCTTTCCAATTCGGTACAAAATTCAGTATTTCAAGAGCCGCAATGCATCTGAGTACATACTGTACATACGTACATATCGTCAAGAAGCAGCCCGTAAAGAGCCGCATGCGGCTCCGGAGCCGTAGGTTGCCGACCCCTGCCCTTGACTAATCCTCACCGACCTGTTGGGTGAAGTATGGTCAAACTATCTCCATGACCGACATGTGTGAAGGCCTTCATCCAGCAGTCTGCGTTATAGTAACGGATGTATATTTCACAGTGAAACACTAACTCAGGCCTAAGGGGTGTGCGGATTGTAGGAATCTGTAGCTGAAATTAACAGCTCTGTACTATGGACTGGGATTCAAAGAAAGGATAATTAATATTTTAAAAAGCATCAGCAGAGATTAAAATGTTCTGGTAAGCCCCGCGAGACTGCCAATGGACCTTAACCTTTGCCTCGAGGCTGCAAAATACAGCAGGCGGTTAGTGCACGTCAATTATTCACAGGAGCGTAAACATATATCTGTGGAATCAGAGCAGAGCAGGAACTGCCCATTTATTGCTTTGTGTCGTTAAGTACCACAGTCCAAAGCGGGCAATGAGACGCACGCAAAAGTGGACAAAATCGAACATAAACAGATTAAATGTGGACATATATACAGAAACGTAAGGCCAATGTATAAATAACAATAGTTTTGGAGAATGTTCATACAAAAAAATTCCTCTCCACGTAAACCTATTTTGTTTTACGAAATCCATTAGACGCATGTTCTTTCGGGAGTGCATCTTATCAGCAACATGTACACATTTACATTTAAAGGAGCTGCACAAGCCCTTGAAACGTAATTTATTTCCACCTCAATGTTATTGACGTAACATCCAACACAGCCGACGAGATCATTGTCTGTCTCCACATGTGGACCTCAAGGTGAGATGGCGTCAAAGAAATCAGGTGGCGGCCGCATGGTTTGGGTCGCGGGGGGGGGGGAAGTGGACATCTTGCATCACCCGGTACAGTGACCATGACGTCAAACAGACCTCCGTGACATCACCGCCCACCCCCCACGGCCACGCCGCTGCACTTTAGCCTACTGTAGTAGCCCCCATTCGCAACATCGCTCGCTTCTTTTCCCTCCCCGCCACCGACGCTGGGCGTTATGAAACTCCAACCCAACCGGCCATGCGTGTAAAATGGTGCCAAGTCTGCACACGCACGCGCACACACACGCGGCATTGTGTTTATTCACCTCTGCCACACACACGAAGACTGCAAAAACTGTACACACAAGAGAAAACGAGCAAGGAAGCCTCCATTTTGGAACGGGTTTTTTTTGCTAAATCGTGGCTCACAAACAAGACACGGTCGGATCTTTGTCGGTGTCAAAGGACATTTTTTTTCAAGACACACGGACGTAAATGCTACAACAGCCTAAAAAAACTTATTTCCGAACCCTAGTCTGTATATTTCCATTACCTTTTAAAAGTCTAAAGTGTGACCAACTTCCTGTATACAAGATGCGGGAGACTACCTGTCCAAATAACGCAGATTTTTACATAGATCTCTAGAAAGGAAATACAGTATACACTAAGAGACCTCCTTTACCAGTGGCAAAATATAGTAATAGGTTTTTACCCTTTCAACTGGTACAAAAACTGACACCTTTATACAAATACAGTATGTTGCGAGTACTCGTGGGCTGTACAGCATAGTTTTTTAACCATCATTAACAACCGCATTGGAGAGAGTTCACATGTTTTGGGCACAAAAAAAGCCCCGTTCTCACAAAGGGGGCGACGAGACAACTGCGGCGGCGTTCATCCTTGGGAAGAAAAAAAACTCCACGATGCAGCAGTAGCAGCAGCAAGCAACGCTGGCAATAATGGCTTCAGCATGCTGCTGCTGCTGCTATCGTCTGTCCCATCAGCTTAAAGCGCGCGCTTTCACAATCCTCCTTCCTTCCTTCCCCCCGTGATTAAATGCCCCCAATAAGCCTCGCGCTATTACTGTACGTGCTGCTGTGTGCATTTTTGCGGGCAGCTCACATGGGTGGTGGTTGGTTGGTTGGTGGTTGCTTGCACATCGCCGTGTGGGTGATGGGCACAACAAACGCCACCCTGGCGGCGCTTCTACGCGATCACTCGCGACGAGTTGTAACCCACCGCATTCGATGCATTACAGCACCTAATCCATTATCGAGGACGTTCACATTTCTCGCATAAAATATAAATATACGGCACACGAGGGCTCTTTCCATTCCGGCATTCAGCTGTGCCAGCATCCTTTTTGAAGAAAGAAAAACCGGCAGTCGCGTGAAATATTTATAGAAGCCTACGTCACTCCGGCGCTGCCACATATCCTGGGTTTTATAATGGAAAAGCAACCCCAGGGAGAAGCGGGGGGGGGGGGGGTAGAATACTCGGCATTGAAGGACGATGTCACGTCGACAGAGAAACTGTCCAGGATTCACAAACAGCGCGCACACACACACAAGACAAAGCGACTACTCTCACGGTATAGCCGACACAGATTGTAGGGGCAAGTGCCGTTGGCGAGCACCTATTAGGGTCGTCACGGTGCATACAATAGGGTGGTAACCAAGAGCCGGCCGCCCTCAGTGCCGATGTCTACACGCCACACAAAGTACTCATTTTAGGGTTGGTGGTTAGTGCACTAACCACTGGTGCCTACCACTCAAATATCACAGGCACCGCATGCATGACAGGCGATGGCGGGCACCACCCCATTAAACACATCGTTGGCACTAAAAGGAATCATGGCCAAAGAGCTGCACATATCATGGCCAACAAGTGATACAGAACAGGAGTTATATATATCATGGGGAACAAGCGATACAGAACGGGGGTTCTGTTTCACATGGGATACCAAACCACATCACAAGACACCACACACATCACAGGCACCACAGCAGCATCAGAAGCACCATCATCATAATTCACCACACAAGTGTTTTGGCACACTACACACACAAAAAAAAATGCTCACCATTGCCACACAATGCATAACACTGCAAACCACATGAATCCCCCTGAACTGAAAACATTACCACTCCGAACGAAACACCACTTTACACACCAGCCGCATTTATGGGTACACCAACTATCAAACTATTTGCAGGATCTCGTGTCATCATGGCCAAAGCTGTCGATGCCATCACACCTAGGCAATGCTCAATACCCTCTCTGCCAAGAACCTGGATCTGTGTTATCCTGTAGGCCACGTGACTTGTCCAACATCTGCCCTAACAGTATCCCACGCAACACTTGGTGGTTTAAGGTCTTTCCCTAGGTCGCCTGACCCGCGGAGACCATTACAATTCCTGCCTCCAGCCTCTGCACACGTCTCATCGTATCTCTCACAGGAACGAACACAACATTCGGTCCATGTAATACCTAACTAGACATTTTTAAAAGGCATATGTCTTAATACATCACTTGGGAGAAAATATACATGCACAAGAGACGAGGAAGACTGAAACAAAAAACATCTCTGATCTTGTAGATACGAGTTTGAAAAAGTAAGGAGAAATAAAGACTCTAACGTTATGTTGAAGCCCGCCATAACATTGGTTGTGATGTCACTTCAGTGGCACTGCAATCTATTCTATTCTGGTTCAGGAGCTACACATTCTTGTTCAGGAGCTAAGTGCCAATGTGTCGGTCCTGCTATTGCCACGAGACAGCTTCAGGACAGAGTTTTGTTATTCCTCCTCCTCCATTAAAGCAAAGACGACAGTGGTTTGCTACATGGTCCATAATTTGTGTTGCATGGCCACCGCACTGTGGATTTCCATAAATTGTCCAGCAGATGTACGCATCGCTCCGTTGATGTTCTGATGCATTCGATGGTTACACACCAGTGGCTCGAGGAATGTCAAAGACAGGAGGTGCGATGTTTGGGTCTCGAATGTTTTTGTTTGGGGTACGTCCGCCTCGTTCCAGCATCCTTCCGCATCGGAGCGAAATTCTAGGATGGTGACGGGCAGCGCGATCCCCACGTAGGGGATGGGGGACTTGAGTCTACGCCGAGGGACGCTGTCGAGATGTACTGGTTAATGGGTAGGCAGGCGCTGTCGAGATGTACTGGTTAATGGGTAGGCAGGCTGTCGTTGGCAAGAAGCTGTGTAAACGTCCTTTCATGTCTCCGTGGTAATTTGGTGACAGAATGTTCGCCCAAACGCAGAGCCAGGAGATTGGTGTCGGTTTCAGTCTTCCGGATATGATGTGCATTGCATTAACACGTACGGCGTTCCAGTGCAGTGACATCACCAGAGCGCTATAATGGAACTCTTGAAGCATAACTTTCAAGTATTTCCTTCTGATGAGCAATGCTGTAAACTTGTATCGGACGGCCCAGGACACGCAGCATTTGCAAGGCGATAGCTTACTACATACAAAATGATATTTGTGTCTTTCTTTATCATATATATACTTCTGCAACACTTTAGAGACGACAACTACAGTACCTAGAAGGAGCAGGTGACATGGTACCACCTTGAATTCTTATCAAGTGGCGGAGACTACCGTGCCTAATAGATGTGTGATAAAGGTCTAAGGTACGACCATTGCTACACCAAACACCCGAAACAAAAACCCTTTCCTAAGCGTGAGCTGCAAATCTTGAACCTGAAGTGTTAACTCCGAACCCTAGACGAAACTCAAGGAACGTCGTCCATTACCATTTCATCAACTAAAAACACACGACCCACGAACGGACGAAAATCTGGTCTATTATTGTAGAAAGATCTGCAGGAACAAGTGCCAGGCACTGTGTTTATTTACCCGCCTACTGTCACTTCCTCGTGCACCTTATAGGGGCCTCTCACACAAATACAAAGATCCCCCAGATAGCCATTGATAGACTGTTGGGGCAAGAGCTGTTAGCGAGTGGCACCTATTAAGGCCCGAACGGCACACGAGGGGGTGGGTGGCCAGAACCACGCCCAGCCGCCTTTGTTTCCCCAGTACAATGTTTACACATCGCACTAAGTACTAATTTGAGGCTGAGTCGACCTAGGAGAGGCCGCACTAGATACTCATTTGAGGCTGCGTCGACGTAGGGGATGGCCCTGGACCGGTTCGAATAATTGCCAGTGGTACTGCGAGCGCGAATCAAACTCGGCTAGCAGGGTTCGAAGCGAACCGTGACACTACCACTCCCCACAAACACATCGACACGCACACCTACACCTCACCAATACCCGGCCATTCCCCACTAAGTGACGGTGACGTCAACACGGCGCCTGTGCCAGGCCTGGTGCACTTTGAGGACACGTGAAGTGTCTCACACACAGTACAATACACACACACACCTTGCAATGGTATGTAATCCCCTGCCACAACACACACCTTGTGGGAAACCATGGCACCAGCATAGACAAAACAATACACTGTACACAATTTGCGCTGCAGGGGATGCCTCAAACACGCCTTGCACGGCCATGTGACATTCAAAGACAAACACCCCCGTACAGCCTCAACAAACTGTTGCGGCAAGTGCTGTTAGCGAGTAGCACCTATGAAGACCGGCACGGCAACGAGGGGGTGGGTGGCCAACACCACGCCCGGCCGCCTTTGTCTCCCGAGTGACGATGTTTACACACCAAACCAGGTACTTATTTGAGGCTTAGTCGACCTTGGGGAGGCCCAGGACCGGTTCAGATAATCGTCACTGGTGTTGGCCGTGAGCGGGAATCGAACTCGCATGGCCGTGAGCAGGAATCGAACTCGGGTCGCCGGGTTCGTAGCGCAGCGCGCTAACCGCTGCACTACCACTCCCCGTGTGACATACACCTCACAAACACCCCACAATGCAGTGGGGGGGGGGGGACGCACACCCGGCCAAAGGATTTACAGAGGGCAAAACGCATTCTTGCACTCAAACCTTTTGAAGGCAAACAACACTCAAACCCTACACACACACATGCATTTTCAAAAGCATGTCTATAGAAAAAATGGAAACACATCTTGTAGGAGGAGCATGTAACGCACCATACACAACCTTCAAAACAACACATACTTCACACACTTCGTAAGAATATGGAACACAACCTAAACACTGTGACACATCATCATAGGGGGCATATGTTAACATAACCTAGCAGTGTGACACAATCCAGTAACATCCTCGACATATATAGCTAGTAGGAGCGTGTGATATATGTAATACATACCCTCCCCCACACCCTATATGTAATACAAACGGAACACACCTTGACATCAGCACGTAACAGAGACAGATGCCCCGTGTAGCCATAACAGACTGTTTGGTCAAGTGCTGTCAGCTAGCACCGATGAAGGCCAGCACCTCGCCCGGCCGCCTTTGTCTCCCCACACATTACACACGCACTTGAACAAGTCACACAAACTCTCCACACCTTGCACGAACTTCTAACACACACGCATCTTTAGAAAACAGAACACTGCACACGTGACACATTGGGGCATATAACACGCACTCTTATACAACCTTGCAGGATCGTCTGACACACACGCGCACAACACAACACCCGACGCAGTCCGCACCTTGCAAGAGCGAGCTGCCCGCGTGTCCCACGGTGCCCGCGCCGACCCCGGCCGCCCGCCCGCGCTGCTGCTTGCCCCAGCGTGGGGCTGTGCCGGCTCAGCTCGGGCGCTCGTCCTTGCCGTGCGCGCCGCCGTGGCCCCCGTGGCCTCCGTGGCCGTTGCCGAAGAAAATCCTCGCCGCCGCCGCGCCGCCTCGGCGGCCGAATGAGGCGAGGCCGCGCCGACCCCGGGAGGCCCGCCGCCCGATCCGCCGACCGACCCCGACCCGCCCCCGCCGGGCCCGTAGCCACCGCCGCCACGCCGCCGCCGTCCTTGGGCTGCTTGTTGTGAGCGGAGGCGGCCGCCGAGGGCCCGTTGGCCCCGCGTTTCATGGCGCGGGTGGCCTCGATGACCAGCTCGATGCGGTCGGCGCCCTCGTAGTTGACGCAGCCGCGGCACACGGCCTCCGAGAAGTCCCACAGCATGGCCCACGGCATGCGCGGCAGGTCGCACAGGTAGCACGATTGGCGACGTGACTGCGCCGACATCTTCCCTGCCCGCCTTCCCACCCCCCCCTTCCTCCTCCTCTTCCTCTTTCTCCTCCTCTTCCTCGTCTCCTCTCGCCTGCGCACGCAGTCGCAAACACGCGGCGGTGGTGACCCCGAGGGGATGGCCTCGCGACAGAAGCAGTCGTGCGCGGTTTCACAAAACACCGCGTGGCACTCGCAAAGGCCTTGCGTTTTGTGTGTGGTGTTATACGGCGGTCGCTCGCGGAAGTGTCTGCAGACGCTCTTACACTTTAGACTTTAAAGAGAGCCCCCGTTTAAATGTTCGTCGTACGTCGTCTCGTTTGACTGAGGAAGAGGCGTCGTAGTCCGCACGTCTTTATCGAGCGCTCGGTCAGTGGGGGGGGGGGGGGGGGGAGGTTCAGATATGTTGGCGACTACTGCTGCTGTGCAATATACTGTACCGTGATTTGCAGTCGTACTGTATAACACAAAAGACACAGATCCCACCCCCCCGTATATAGCCTTAACCGATTGTAAGGGAAAGTGCTGACACCGATGAAGGCCGGCACGGCACACGAGGGGGTGGGTGGCCAGCACCACGCCCGGCCGCCTGGCCACCTTCGTCTCCCCAGGTGCGATGTTTACACACCACACCGGGTACTCATTTGAGGCTGAGTCGACCTAGCGGAGGCCCAGGACCGGTTCAGATAATCGTCACCGGTGTTGGCCGTGAGCGGGATTCGAACTCGGGTCGCTGGGTTCGTAGCACAGCGTAGCGCTAACCGCTACACTACCGCTCCCCACAATATTTACACAGAAATGGAATAACACACACACACACATTGCATAGATCGCATACCCTACAGACATTGACCACGCCACGCTGGTTTACGCCCTGCCATGAACTCGGCAGCCCGAGTTAGAATTCCGGCCACGGCTAACATCAGTAGCAAGTGACGAAACATGAACAGGTTTTGTTTCTCGCCGTGCACCAAACCAGCATGAACCATTGTCGGTACAGGACGGTTCAAACGACCTATGACCGATACGGCACGGGGGAGGGTAAGATGTCTACATTCAGCAGCGGACTGGTGACAATGACAATAAACGATCTATCTAAACCCGCAATGAACATCGAGGTGAAGTATGGTCAAAGACACCCCCACGGGCGTGTACCACAGCGATGTGGAATGTAATACTTACTATAATCACCCAGGAATGTCTGCCCTTAACGCTCGTGACGTCACCCCACATAGACCAGCCCCCCTCATTAATATTCATGAGCAAGTGACGTCCTCCAAATTGACACCCCCCCCCCCCCCCATTCATAATCATTAGCGGCTGACACATTGGGGGGCCGAGGTGCCTCCTCCCCCCCTCCTCGGCGTCAACTTACAACCCTCAATAAAAAAAATTACCTACGCGACTTAACCGAAAAAATCCTTGCAGTCACGAAAACTTCAAGTCTAGAATCACAACCCTCACTACAAAGGCAGAACCCTCACGTCACGCGATCTCCGTCACGCTGTTGAGACATTGAAGTAAAAAGGACGTCACGATGAACGAGGGATTATAACCTTAAAATGAAATAGGTCTGTGTCACCGCGCCCTTACAAACTGCACACGAATTGATGCAATGATTTACTGCAATACACCCGATCCTGGACGGACTAAAAGGTTAGTTCTATATAAATGCAACGTAATCACCCGAACAATACACTCCAATGATATACTCTAGTGCACACCATACTATAGACTGGATTTGAATACGGTAGCGTGCAACGCAAACGTAATTATATACTCTAGTATAGAAGGGTATGTAGAGTTTTCAGCCTGACATAATACAATTAAATATTATCAATGATATTTAGCAGCAGTACTGTATGATACACACATACACATTAAAGGAATTGTCAAGAATACCATGCAATACGATGCATGCAATAGCTGTACTATTTAATATTGTACAATGCAACCCCATACGCAGACATTTATATAATGGGATATGGATATGCAAGACATACAAACGCAGCATTCCAAGCAATACAATACACAGCAACGTATTACAACATGAAAACACAGCAATGCAATACTTACGATACTATGTAATAAGTATTAAATGCAACGTACTGTATTGCAATACAACGTGCTGTATTGCAATGCAACGTACTGTATTGCAACGTACTGTATTACAACGTACTGTATTGCAACCTATTGCATTGCAACCTACCGCATTGCAACGTACTGTGTTGCTAATGCACCTCCGATTAGCACGGTTGACTACGTACGGTGCGAAAGAGTTCCATACTTTACGCAGAATTTCGGAATAACAAAGAATGTCTTCCAGGAATGTAATAAAATGTTACAGGGTGCTAATACGCAGCTGTTTTATTCCAATAAAACACTGTGACAGCATAACATAAACACACACAATGTAATGCCATGGAATATACCGTAGTTATAGAATGTCGTTCTATAGAAACTATACAATACGCACAGTACAACGCCTATGCATTAGCATGCAACACAATACACAGCCTTGCGTTTTAGCAACATTAATCATACGCAGTATAATGCACAATACAATATTATACAAGGGATACAAATGTACATCAATGCAATAATAGAAGACTGCATCGCATTTATGTTTTAAACAGTATTCATTGCAATACGTAGTAGACCTTACAAGGCACGATGGAACAAAAACACAACACAATTGTGGACGTGGAAACGGTATCAATGATTGATATCGACTTACATTAATTGTAGTAAATGGTTCCAACACAAACTTACAATCGCGTCAAACTTCTCGGCCATAAACATCTTTGATGTTAACCTTATTTAATGTAAACTCTCAAGGTGTAAATGATCACTCCTCCTTAGTTAAACATTATCGTTGTTTCACACGGCTTACAAAGTAGGGCGAGCAATTATTTTATTTTCCTCTCCCTTCATTAAGAATTAACAAGTTAAAACAATACGAATCGTTTCGCTGAAATGGAACAACCAACCTATTGTTAACGTTGCATTATTATTCCGAATTTTACCACGATTTGTTTAAAACAAACCAACCACTGTACTGTTTATTCCCGTTATATTCACCGCACGACATAATTTGTGCGCTATTCGCGCCAGAAAAACCCCGTTAAACATTTAAAAATTAACGATTGATGTTTAAACGACTTTGTATACATCAAGACGTACAAAACGGTGGAACGTCGTTTTTTTATCTTCAAAAAGACACAAAAGTCAACACAAAACAGCTGCCAAGTTACGTTTACACACGAAGGAGACGTAATGTTGTACGATACTGAACACAAAGTAGATGTAACACGTAATGTTGTACGAAACTAAACAAAGTAGACACGTAATATTGTACGATACTGAACACAAAGACGACGTAATACGTAATGCTGTATGATACTAAACAAAAAAGCAGTACAGTTGTACGATACTAAACACAAAGACTTAATGTTGTTGTACGATACTAAACACAAAATAGACCCGTAATGTTGTACGATACTAAACACAAAGAAGACGTAACGTTGTACGATACTAAACACAACACTAAGTGTATATTACACTACCTCACATACTTTTGACACCACTTAAACAACAACATTTGTCGCTTAATCGCTGTCGATGTCACCTGATAAAAGTTGCACGCAACATTTTCCGTTAACTTTCGTTAGAACGCAACAAAGGTACGGTGCGAAAGAAGTTCCACACACGCGATTAGCGCACAAAGTCGCCCGAGTTACTCATTTAATCGGTTAAAATTGCCATGAATTCTTCTCCCCACACTCTATAGCTTAGATAACCGGTAATCATTCATAAATCATGTTTCCTGTACACGTTGTTGTTGTTTTTGTGGTGGTGCTTGTGACACGGGCCTACTCAATAAAGTCGTCGTCAAAAGCCGCCAAGGTCGACTTACACAAAAGGCGTTATAATTGCAATTAACTTACGATGGATGCATCGTGTGACGAACACAAGTTACACATCGTGTGACGAACACAAGCTACAACATCGCATGCCGCCCGTAGCCTTTTGACGGGCGGCAAACACAAAAATGTCGTCGAAATTTTACCTCAGAAAACGACGGCGTCCACACCACAAAGTCGCACCCGTGGCTCGTTACAACAACAGCGATGGACACGCGAACCCACAAGAACAACCACCACCAACAACCACCTCCTCTTCCTATACGAAGACGACGACTCCTCGTTGTCGTGTCCACCACGACCACCACGAGCCTCGCGTTGTGAGCAGCGCACGACACGAACTGTGACGCGCAACGGATCCACGAACCCCCCTCCCCCCGCTCGCCCCCACCTCCTCACCCCCCGCTCGCCCCCCCCACCTCCTCACCCCCCGCTCGCCCCCCCACCTCCTCACCCCCCGCTCGCCCCCCCACCTCCTCACCCCCCCCACCTCCTCACCCCCCGCTCGCCCCCCCCACCTCCTCACCCCCCCTCGCCCCCACCTCCTCACCCCCGCTCGCCCCCCCACCTCCTCGCCCCCCCACCTCCTCACCCACCGCTCGCCCCCACCTCCTCACCCCCCGCTCGCCCCCCCACTCCTCACCCCCCACCTCCTCACCCCCCGCTCGCCCCCCCCACCTCCTCACCCCCCGCTCGCCCCCACCCCCTCACCCCCCGCTCGCCCCCCCCACCTCCTCACCCCCCGCTCGCCCCCCCCCACCTCCTCACCCCCCGCTCGCCCCCCCCACCTCCTCACCCCCCGCTCGCCCCCACCCCCTCACCCCCCGCTCGCCCCCACCCCCTCACCCCCCGCTCGCCCCCACCCCCTCACCCCCCCGCTCGTCCCCACCTCCTCACCCCCCGCTCGCCCCCCCCACCTCCTCACCCCCCGCTCGCACCCCCTCCTCCTCACCCCCCCCGCTCGCCCCCCCCCACCTCCTCACCCCCCGCTCGCCCCCCCCCACCTCCTCACCCCCCGCTCGCCCCCACCTCCTCACCCCCCGCTCGCCCCCACCTCCTCACCCCCCGCTCGCCCCCCCCACCTCCTCACCCCCCGCTCGCCCCCCCCCACCCTCCTCACCCCCCCGCTCGCCCCCCCCACCTCCTCACCCCCCGCTCGCACCCTCCTCCTCACCCCCCCGCTCGCCCCCCCCACCATCCTCACCCCCCGCTCGCCCCCACCTCCTCACCCCCCGCTCGCCCCCACCTCCTCACCCCCCGCTCGCCCCCACCTCCTCAACCCCCCGCTCGCCCCCTCCTCCTCACCCCCCCCTCGCCCCCCACCTCCTCAACCCCCGCTCGCCCCCTCCTCCTCACCCCCCGCTCGCCCCCCCACCTCCTCACCCCCCCGCTCGCCCCCACCTCCTCACCCCCCGCTCGCCCCCCCACCTCCTCACCCCCCGCTCGCCCCCTCCTCCTCACCCCCCCGCTCGCCCCCCCACCTCCTCACCCCCCGCTCGCCCCCCCCCCCATCCTCCTCCGCCCGTCTCGCGCTTCCCGCCTTTTTTGCTGTTGGTTGCTGTGGGGGTCGCCGCGTCGAGGTCGTCTCGACCCCCCCCCCCCGGTAACCCCCGCGTCAACCCCCCGGGGGTAACCCCCCCCACCCCCCCGCGTCAACCCCCCGCGGTAACCCCCCCCCCCACCCCCCGCGGCATCCCCCCCACCCCCCCGCGGCATCCCCCCCCACCCCCCCCGCGGCATCCCCCCCACCCCCCCGCGGCATCCCCCCCCCACTCACCCGCGTCAACTCCCCCCACCCCCCCACCCACCCCCCCGCTGCAACCCCCCCCACCCCCCGCGGCAACCCCCCCCACCCACCCACCCCCCCGCGTCAACCCCCCCCACCCCCCCACCCACCCCCCCGCGGCATCCCCCCCCCACTCACCCGCGTCAACTCCCCCCACCCCCCCACCCACCCCCCCGCGGCAACCCCCCCACCCCCCGCGGCAACCCCCCCCCACCCACCCACCCCCCCGCGTCAACTCCCCCCACCCCCCCACCCACCCCCCCGCGGCAACCCCCCCCCACCCCCCCGCGGCAACCCCCCCCACCCACCCACCCCCCCGCGTCAACCCCCCCCACCCCCCCGCGGCAACCCCCCCCACCCACCCACCCCCCCGCGTCAACCCCCCACCCCCCCCCCGTCAAACCGCCGCCCTCGTGGAGGCGAGGGAAGCCCAACGTCGACAGATCCTCGTCAACCCGGGGCCCCGCTGGCGGCCCCGGGTCACTCTTCATCAACCACTCCATCTACTCACCCTCAACCACTCCATCTACTCACCCTCAACCACTCTACCTCCCTACCTCAACCACTCCATCTCTCACCCCAACCACTCTACCTCCACTACCTCAACCACTCCATCTACTCACCCTCAACCACTCTACCTCCACTACCTCAACCACTCCATCTACTCACCCTCAACCACTCTACCTCCACTACCTCAACCACTCAACCACTCTACCTCCACTACCTCAAACCACTCTACCTCCTCCTCAACCACTCCTCCCTACCTCAACCACTCTACCTCCACTACCTCAACCACTCCATCTACTCACCCTCAACCACTCTACCTCCTCTTCAACCTCTCTACCTCCTCCTCAACCACTCCACTACCTCAACCACTCCTCTACCTCCTCAACCACCTCCTCTACCACTCTACCCTCAACCACTCCTACTACCTCCTCAACCACTCCTCTACCACTCTAACACCTCACCACTCTACCTCAACCACTCCTCTACCTCCTCAACCACTCCACCACTCTAACCTCAACCACTCCTCCACCACTCTACCTCAACCACTCTACCGCAACCACTCCTCTACCCTCCTCAACCACTCCCTCCACCACTCTACCTCCACCACTCTACCTCAACCACTCCTCTAACCACCTCTACCTCTACCACTCTAACCTCCTCCATCGCTCTACCTCCCCACACGCTCTCGTCCCGAGTCGCTCGCCCTTCTTGTTCTCGGCTCACTCGAGACTTCCCCACCACCACCACCGCGAGGCTCTTCCTCCTCTTCTCCCCACACCACCATCATCACCACCACCACCACCATCATTATTATTATTAAACATCCATCGTCGTCATTATTATTAACATCCATCGTCGTCATTATTATTAAACATCCATCGCCGTTTCCTCCCCGCGTGCTAATGAAGCTTCGGCGGCCTCGTCGTAGCGGCCTCTGTCCCCAGGCGCAATCAGATTCCCCTCTCACAGGTACGCAGCGGCCGCCTCTTAAAATAACAACAAATATTAACCACGCAAGACGTGTGCACCGACGCAGCCGGACAAACACAACAACAACAACAAGATGTCCCTCTACCAGCAGACACACAACAATGGACTTCACCTCAACAAGCACTATTGCTGCTGCTGCTGTTGATGCTGCTGTTGATGATAATCCTGCAGTCGTAGACGGTGACCGCGTGGGGATGAAGTCGCTTGTGGCAATGTGGTCACGGAGCGGCGTGAGAGGGGGGCGGGGGGGGTCCCACGTGACGGTGAGGGGGGGGGGCGAGCAGGAGGGAGTCCGACGTGACGGTGAGGGGGGGCGAGCGGGGGGAGGGGGCAAGCGTGGGGGGGGGGCAAGCGGGGGGGGGTCCCTTGTAACGGTGAGGAAGGGGCGAGCGGGGGTCCCACGTGACGGTGAGGGGGGGGGGCAAGCAGGGGGTGGGTCCCTTGTAAAGGTGAGGGGGGGCGAGCGGGGGGCGGGGTCCCCGTGACGGTGAGGGGGGGGGGGCGAGCGGGGGGGAGTCCCACGTGACGGTGAGGGGGGGGGGGCGAGCGGGGGGAGGGGTCCCACGTGACGGTGAGGGGGGGGGGCAAGCGTGGGGGGGGGCAAGCGTGGGGGGGGGGAAGCGGGGGGGGGGTCCCTTGTAACGGTGAGGGGGGGGCGAGCGGGGAGGGGGGTCCCACGTGACGGTGAGGGGGGGGGCGAGCGGGGGGGGGGTTCCGCGTGACGGTGAGGGAGGGCGAGCGGGGGGAGGGGTCCCACGTGACGGTGAGGGGGGGGGCGAGCGGGAGGGGGGTCCCACGTGACGGTGAGGGGGGGGCGAGCGGGGGGGGGGGTCCCACGTGACGGTGAGGGGGGGGCGAGCGGGGGGGGTTCCGCGTGACTTGCTTCAGCAGTCACCGTCGTGTTGGAGCCGCTATTGGCCGCGCATGCGCAGTCGGCGCAGCCGTATTTATTTATTTCTTACCCCCCCTCCCCCCGTGAATATTTTTTAGGGGTGGGGGGGGAAGCGACCAGAAAACCCCTCCATAGCAACCGGCCATAGCAACGGCGATGTGATTGGCCCCAGGAGCGTCACGTGGTGATGTGAGAGAGAAAAAAAAGAGTTCGGTGCTCTGTGTTTACAAAGCGTTCCCCCGCCGCCCCCACCGCATCCTCCTCCTCCTCCTATTGGTCGATTCCGTCAATGGAATTTGAATGACTTTTCATAATAAAATGGAATTTTAATTCAATGTGCATATCCTTTGTGGTTGTTGTTATACATTTTGTCCGTGGTAATTGTGCTTATGTTGTCGTTTGCGCGGTGAAATATTTAACGTTTTTAATTTATCTTCTTGGTTCTTTCGGTAAAGTCACGTAGAAGGGAAGTAATAAAATAATAAAAATAAAACATAATAAAATAATATTATATTATTATATTATATTATTTTATTATTTTATTTTATTATGTTTTATTTTTATTATGTTATTACTTCCCTTCTACGTGACTTTACCGAAAGAACCAAGAAGATGAATCCCTGCAGTCACGAAAGCTTTAAATCGAAACTTTTTAATGTATTTAGTTAAAAAATTTTGGGCCCTAAATATTGCAATATTTAACAATATATTTATCGGGAAATGATTGAGTAACATTTATTTCAGAGTAATTTTCCGGTTTAATTGAGCGAAACTTTGCTGTAACAGCAACCTTGGCATTGTACAAACTTGCAACGGTCCGTCATGTTCAATAATTCTCTTGATAAGGAGAAATATCTCACTCATCAAATTCCTGCAGTATCAATATTCTGATATTGGTTAAAGTGATTTGAAAAAAAAATCCAATTCTAGACGTAACTTCTTCATCGCATGAATTTGTGGACACTCGTGACAACACATTGAATAGGACCCCTTTCTTAAAATGTGATTTCCAACTTTAGCAAAGGGCATTTATCGAATACAAGTTGGAGATAAAATCATGCACACACATGGGTTCCTAGAGTACGTGAACCCCGTATTCCGGTACAGGGAAAATTGAGTTTTCAGATTCAATAGAGGCACAAACAAGTATCTATGTTTGTGTTTCTCCCTTGTGATGGGACTTTGTAGG